GACTGCCCAGGTCTTCTAACTGAGACCCATGTTCAGGCTGTCTGAGTTGGTCTAATGCTGTTTTCCCAGCTATCAGTCTGGGGGGGGGGGTTCATGAGCTCCCCTTGTTCAGGTCACCTGTCTCTGTGGGTTTCTGTAGCCTGGTCTTGACCCATTTTCTTATCCCTCTCTGCAACTAGATTCCAGGAGTTCAGCTCAGTGTTTAGCTGTGGGTGTCTGCTAATACATGAAGGTTCTATGATGATATATAAGTTAGTCTATCAATCTCATTATCAGAGAAGGGCATTTAAGGTAGCCTCTCCACTATTGTTTAGATTGTTAGTTGGGGTCATCCTTGTATGTCTCTGGACATTTCTCTATAGTCAAGTTTTCTCTTCAAACGTAAAAGATGCCTATTATGGCATCTTTTTTTTGCTCTTGTCTATTTGTCCCCTGACTCAATCTTCCTGGTCTCACATGTTTTCCTCTCCTCCCCTGCTCTTTCTCCTAACTCCCTCTCCACTCACTGCCACCCCCACCCCATGTTCCCAATATGCTCAGGAGATCTTGTTTCTTTCTCCTTCTGTGAGGGACCTTGTATGACTCTTTAAGCTTCTTCCTTGTAGCCTAGTTTCACTAGCTGTGTAAATTGTAGCCTGGTGACCTTTTGCTCTATGTCTAAAATCCATATGTGAGTGAGTACATACCATGTTCTTTTTTTTTTTTTTTCTGTGACTGGGTTACCTCACTCAGGATGGTTTCTTCAAGGTTCATCCATTTACCTGTGAATTTTAAGATTATATTGCTTATTTTTTCCAACTGAGTAGTATTCCATTGTGTAAATACACCACAACTTATTTATTTATTCTTCAGTTGAGGGGCATCTAGGTTGCTCCCAGGTTCTTGCTATTACAAATAATGCTGCTATAAACATAGTTGAACAGATGTCTTTGTTGCATGGATATGGATTATGCCTAAGAGTGGAATTGCCAGGTCCTGTGGTAGACTGATTCCCATTTTCCTGAGGAACCACCATACTGATATCCAAAATGGCTGTACACGTTTGCACCCCCACCAGCAGTGAAGGAGTGTTCCCTTTTCTCCACACCATCTCCAGCATAAGCTGTCATTGGTGTTTCTGATCTTAGCCATTCTGGTAGGAGTAAGATGGTATCTCAGAGTTGTTTTGATTTGCATTTCTCTGATGTCTAAGGATGTTGAGCACTTTCTTAATTGTCTTTCAGCCATTTTGGATTCCTCTATTGAGAATTCGCTATTCAGTTCTGTACCCCCACTTTTAAATAGGGTTATTTTGTGTTTTGGTGACTAGTTTCTTGAGTTCTTTGTGTATTTTGGAGATCAACCCTCTGTCAGATGTGGGGTTAGTGAAGTCTGTGGGCTCCTATTTGGTCTTGTGGACTGTGTTCTTTGCCTTACAGAAGCTTCTCAGTTTCAGGAGGTCCCATTTATTAATTGTTGACCTCAGTGTCTGTACTACTGGTGTTATGTTCAGTAAGTGATCACCTGTACCAATTTGTTCAAGGTACCTCCCACTTTCTCTTCTAAGAGGTTCATTGTGGCTGGATTTATGTTGAGGTCTTTGATCCACTTGGACATTTTTGTGCATGGTGATAGACATGGGTCTTCTACACTGAGGAAATGCAGACAATTTTCAGGTCATACTTTGAAAACCTGTACTGCACAAAATTCAAAAACTTAACAGAAATGGACAAATTGCTGGATAGCTATCACTTACCAAAATTAAATCAAGAACAGATAAGCAATTTAAATAAACATATAAACCCTAATGAAAGAGAAGCAGTCATCAAAAGCCTCTCAACAAAAACAAAACAAAACAAAACAAAACCCAGGGCCAGATGGCTTCAGTGCAGAATTCTACCTGAAATTCAAAGAAGAGTTAATGCCAATACTCCTCAAGTTGTTCCATACAGTAGAAGCAGAAGGTTCATTACAAAACTCTTTTTACAAGGCCACAATTAACTTGGTACCCAAGCCACACAAGGACACAACTAAGAAAGAGAACTACAGACCAATATCGCTCATGAACATCGATGCAAAACTACTCAATAAAATACTGGCAAATCGAATCCAAGAACACATCAGAGAAATCCACCATGACCAAGTAGGCTTCTTCCCAGGGATGCAGGGATGGTTCAACATATGAAAAATCTATCAATGTGATCCACCATATAAACAAACTGAAAAAGAAAAACCACATGATCATCTCCCTAGATGCTGAAAAAGCCTTTGACAAAATCCAACACCCTTTCATGATAAAGGTCTTGGAGAGATCAGGGATAACAGGAACATACCTAAAAATAACAAAAGCAGCATTCAGTAAACCAGCAGCCAACATCAAACTGAATGGAGAGAAGTTTAAGGCAATTCCTCTAAAATCAGGAACAAGACAAGGCTGCCCTATCTCTCCATATCTCTTCAGTATTGTATTTGAAGTTCTAGCTAGAGCAATAAGACAACAAAAGGAGATACAAATTGGAAAGGAAGAAGTCAACTGTCACTATTTGCAGATGATATGATAGTTTACATAAGTGACCCGAAAAACTCTACCAGGAAACTCCTACAGCTGATAAACACCTTCAGCAATGTGGCATGGTACTAGATTAACTCAGAAAAATCAGTAGCCCTACTATATACAGACGATAAAGACTCTGAGAAAGAAATCAGAGAAACATCACCCTTTACAATAGCCACAAACAATATAAAATATCTTGGGGTAACACTAATCAAACAAGTGAAAGACCTATATAGCAAGAACTTTGTGTCTTTAAAGAAAGAAATTAAAGAAGATAGCAGAAAATGTTCTTGAATAAGTAGGATAAACAGTAAAAATGGCAATCTTGTCAAAAGCAATCAACAGATTCAATGCAATCCCATCAAAATCCCAGCACAATGCTTCACTAACCTTGAAAGGCTAATACTCAACTTTATATGGAAAAACAAAAGACCCAGGATAGGCAAAACAGTCCTGTCCAATAAAGGGACTTCAGGAGGCATCCCCATCCCCAACTTCAAGCTCTACTACAGAGCTACAGTCCTGAAATCAGCTTGGTATTGTCACAAAAATAGACAGGTAGACGAATGGAATGAAATAAAAAACAACTGATATTAACCCACACACCTATGAACACCTGATTTTTGACAAAACAGCTAAAAGTATACAATGGGAGGAGGAAAGCACCTTCAACAAATGGTGCTGGCACAACTGGATGGTGGTGTGTAGAATACAGATAGACCCATGTCTATTACCATGCACACAACTCAAGTCCAAATGGATCAAGGACCCAGTTTTTCTATTTCCAGCTTTCCCTCAGTTTGTGTTTTCTTTCTTGTCTCTATTTCAGTTTTCAGGTCTTAATCTGTTTGAATTGTTTCCTTCATCTATTTGATTGTTTTTTTCTTGGCTTTTCCAAGTTTTTTTTTCTTCCATTTCTTTAAATGATTTTCTCATAACATCTTTGAGGGCCTCTATTATTTTCATGAAGTTTTTTTTTTTTTTTTAAGTTGTTCTCTTCTGCTTCATCTTATTTCAGGTCTAGTTGGTGTAGAGTCCCTAGGTTCTGGTGATGTCATACTGATCTTTCTGTTGTTGTATTGCCATCTTCCCATAGCTTTTTCTGGTGGGTGCAGGTGGTCTCTCTCTCTCTCTCTCTCTCTCTCTCTCTCTCTCTCTCTCTCTTGCTCTCCCAGTGGGTGTAGGTGGGTCAGGGGTTTGATGCCTGTAACTCTGGATAATCCTTGCTCTCTTGGAAGTCTCTCAAGCAGAGGCCACAGCAGGGCCAATGATGTGGGGAAGGCAGGCTCAGGATGTTCTCAAGCACTCAGGCTGAGGGCAGGTGATGGGGTCCAAAGATCAGGTGAGTGCAATTTCAAGATAGTCCTGTGTGGATAGGCCAGTCCAGTATTCTAGAGCTCAGGCAGAAGGCAGCTGTTAGGGCTCAAAGATCAGGAGAGTGCAGGCTCAATGTGGTCCCTTGTGGGTAGGCAGGTCCAGTATGCTCAGATCTGACCCAGGAAGTTCCAAGGAGGTGGAGGGGGTTTTGAACCTGCGCTGTGGCCCAGTGCTCACCCAGAGCCGTGGACACAGCAGGGACAAGAATCGATAGCCAGGACTGTTACACAGAGAAACTCTGTCTGATAAAAACCCAAATAAATAAATAAATAAATAAATAAATAAATAAATAAATAAATAGCACAAACAGATAGAGGAAAGGGAGTTGAAGTAGCAAAGCATCTCTATAAAACATGAGGAAATGGTTGATCAGCCCTAGTCCATAATATGCAGAATACAGACAACAGAGCATCCTTGCCCAGTGTTCCTCATTGGAGCTGAGAGAAAAAGATATGCAAGCTCCTTCATTGCCCCAACTCCCTGAACTTCCAGCTTCCAATTTTAACCAAACCTTACCACTGACCCAAGTGGCATTCTTCTAGCCAGTAGCTAAGAATAGGTTGCCTGGGTATGAATGTTTTGGGCATTGGAATCTAAAACACTGAAAAGGATTCCTTGAAAATTTCTATAGAGTGTAGCATACATGAAACTGTCCCAGGTTAGTTTTTAGCAGGTCAATCCTGTGATGTGTTCTTTATTGTTTGGTCAATTCATATTTACATAGGGGACCGTCAGTAAAGGGGCTTTCTCTATTATTGTCTGAGCATAGCTGCTGTATTGATAAGAAAATTAAGGAGGCTGGAGAGGTTACTCAGTGGTTAAGAGCACTGACTGTTCTTCCAGAGGACCCAGGTTCAAGTCCCAGCACCCACATGACAGCTAACAACTGTCTATAACTCCAAGATCAGACAAACATGCAGGCAAAACACCAATGCACATAAAGTAAAAATAAGTAAATTATAATAATAAAAAAGAAAATTATGATCCAAAATACAGACCTATGAGTGTATTTTGGATGATTTAAAGTGGGCCCTGCTGTGTTTATTCTTATGGGACCTTTTGTGTGATTCTTGGTTTGTTCTATTTCAAGTCTCTTCCCTGGCTCCTTGCGCTACCTTGTCCAGCAGCACTTGGATTTGCTTCATGCCCTGCAGGAGAGGATCCTGAAATGGCCACGCCAAGGAGTCCTCGGAGATTTATTCTTGAAGTTGACAAATGATGAGGTAAGGTGTCTCCTTTTCTATATTATTAATGGATTTGTGTCTTACTCTCTTAATGGAGAAGCAAGAATTAGCAAATTTCAGAGTTAGAAGAAGCCCTGATATCTCGTTTAACCTCCCCATGCTATAGTTAGTGAGGTAGGCTCATAAAGATTCAAGGGCTTAGCTGAAATCACCCAGCTTGCAAGGTGGTTGTTTATGACTGGAGCCCTGTTACATCTTCTACCTTCTGATTCATGACTTTGTAGTCCACTATTGTGGCCTCTATTGACCATGCATGTTTATGGATTTATGTAGGTGATTTTTAATATACATACATATATATATATCATAAATGCTTGCTTGATAATATATGATATATATTTGTATATATCATATAAAATAAATAGGAGGTATAGTATGTATATTTTTCATATGTAATTTTCATTTCTTCATAGATTTTAAAATATGATAGGTGGCTGTTTATCTTGAATGTATTTTGTTTGAATTCCTTAGAAAAAGAGTGCTGAATTTTGAACTCTCTTTAATGCTATACCAAGAACATTTCCAGGCCAGAAGTTGAAAGCCCAAATGTCCCAAGGACAAGACATGGTGTATATGACATAACATCAGTTTGGATTGATGGGAATTTGCTGGAGAAGACAATGTTTGTTTTGATACAAAGAACAGCTACTCAGATCTATCTAATTATTATTTAGGAAAGAAGGACTAGAGAAATTAGATTGTTGTTTTAAGAGAAGTGAAATCTAAAATTTTATTAAAATGCTCTTATAAAAATTTAAATATTGTGTGAGGCAATTAAAGTTGGCCCATGAGTCAGTTTTTGCCTGCATCTTTATCAACATTTCTTTACAGAAGGTAATAACACAGATTTGTAGCTTATTAACTCATGTAGAAGGCAGTAAATGTATTCAGCATATTTTTTTGGAGCTAGAAGTTATACATATGGGGATATAACTTTGGAAGCTATGAATTGTTTTCTTGAGGGGAAACTGAATTGGTGAATAAGCATTAGTTAAAATGGGCAACTACCTGAAAACATTGCGAACTGCTTCCCTCTTCTTCTCAAGTGGTAAGGTCATATATGTGGTTCCTCGCACACTTCTAAACATCAAGGAAACAAACAATAATAATAAAAAAACTCTTTAAAAAATTATATATATTGCTCTGCCTGTATGTATGCCTGCAAGCCAGAAGAGGGCACCAGATCTCTTTATAGATGGTTGTGAGCCACCATGTGGTTGCTGGTATTTGAACTCAGGAACACTGGAAGATGAGCCAGTGTCTTAACCTCTGAGCCATCTCCCCAGCCCCACAAAAAACTAACAAAAGACAAAAAAAAAAAAAAAAAAAAAAAAAAAAACCCAAAACAAAACAAAACAAAAAACCAAACAAAAACAAAACAACAACAAAAAACTCTTTAAAAAAGATTAACAAGGGGCAGAAAAGACAGCTCACAGGTTAAGAGCACTTGTTGCTGTTGCTGAAGATTGGAGTTTGGTTATGATAACCCACATGGTCACCCACAACCATCTCTAACTCCAATTTCAGGATATTTGATACTTTTTGACCTTTGAAGACACCAGTTATTGACTTGGGGTACATATATACATGTAGACAAACACTCAGTACACATAAAATAAAAACAAATCTTTATAAAGAAGATGAATAAAAACTCCAAGAGCAAATAAAGAACATAGTTAATATATTATTAAAATACCCTCTGAATTCTGCTCTTTTTTTACATTCATGGTACTATAAAAATGTTGTCCTTCCTATTTCCAAGTTCTTATTGTGCATTTTGTGTTTGTTTTAAAGAATAATTTCTTGGATTATTATGTTGCCTACCTGAGGGATTTGCCTGAATGCATCTCTTTGGTTCATGTTATGGTTCTGAAGGAGGTAAGTGTTAACTGTATGCACATGCTGTTTACACACCATCTGTATCATGTTGCCCATCCACTCAACACTACAGCATTTGCCATGTGAGCTTATTTTTCCAGACTGAGGAATGCCTTGAACATGTTACTGATGCCCCTCTTCTGTGTTGAAGGAATCCAATCAAGGATTAGAGCCATTGCTCTTGTCCTTGCGATGCTTTAATAACCCTCTGATCCACTCCACTGAACTACAGACAAAGCAAATAGGTAGTCTAGAGTTCTTTAGCATGCAGCTTGTGTGCATGCTAAAGAACTCTAGAAAATATGAGTGTCAACACAGGATTCAAATCATCCTTAGTCAATTGGCTCCATAGTGTTCCTTGAAGCATGCACTTCAGTGATACATTAGGTGTTCGACATGCATGTACATTATGTTGTTTTAAGTCAACAAGAAAATAGAGTACCAGAGCCCTAATGCTGAGAGTAGTTGCATCTCTCAGGAGATGAGAGTCTATATCTCACTTTCTTCTTCACCTCCCTGAGTCCTCCCAACCAAAAATGACTATCACATGATAGTATTCATCAAATACCTGGAAAAAGAAAGAGAAGGGAAGGTACAGAAGGATACCACTGTATTTTCTGCTTCTAGGCTTACTGACCAATTTCTAACCATTTTCCTCTCCATTCTTGAGAGGCTCTGGTTCACGTTTAGAGCCCATTAGTAGATGACTTGCTGGAAAACCTTAATTTGTTCATTTAATTCAAGTGCAGCTTACCAAGAGCCTACTTCTATCTAGCACTGACCTTAGAGGGGTTAAGGATGGGAGGGATAGTTTGGAAACTTGGATAGATTCTAAAGAAGAATATGTTATGTTCCTTTTTGGAGAAGAGTTGTCTCTTTGGGCCTGAACATGTGGCCTCTCTTGTGAGAAAGCAATGCTTCATGATAATCTCTGGAAAGAACATGCTTTGGAATATGCATTTCCTACCTGGTGGGAGGGATCTTTGGAGTTCTATTTGCAGTGCTGAAGGGATACTGAAGAGTGACTGTGCCTTTTTTTTTTCATTCAGGGTGATGAGGAGATTAAATCCGATATCTATACCCTGTTTTTTCACATAGTACAGCGCATCCCTGAATATCTGATACATCTCCAGGTGAGCCTGGCTGGATAAGCCAACAGATGTTTACACTGGGCTATTATTTTTGGCTTCCAAATTAGCAATACTATACAGGCTCAAGGACTCAGTATTTCTAAGAAGTAGTCACATGGCTTAGGTTGTTATGATTACATCACACTACAGCAAAATATACCATACTCTGCAGAATGAGCTAAAATCTAGTCTTGAAATTTTTGGTTTATGGTACCTGTCTCTGAAGTTCTATCTTTACTTACCAGCAATGTCCACTTCTGGGCATCCAGGATCTTTTATAAACACTCTTCATAATGTCTAAGTACCTTATCCAGTCCCCTCCTATTTGGTTCTACAACCATCTGAATGTGATTCCTGGCCTCTTAATTTCTGTTTAACCTGCCCACTAAACTACTGTCCTGGTGGCTTCTACTTGACTTAGGTCAGAGTTCTATCATACAGTGCTCATACTTTATGTCACAGAAGAGCCATGAGCAGCCGATGAACAAATTCTTAACGTAATTTTCCCATGGAGTCTGTAGCCTTTAGAGGACGTAGAGTTGAGTTCAACAGATTTTTACTAGTAACAGCCTTTTCCTCCTGGTACGGGTCTTCTCTGGTTTAAGTGTTGATGTTCAGTGAAAACATCAGTGAAAACTAATTAACCTCAGGTAGAAGCAGCCCAGAATCAATATTGAGATTTTCACTGGTACATGGCTTTATACAATAATTATCTTATGGATTCTTTTAACAATTTCATGAAACAGGTACTATTATCATTTTTCATAAGGACACAGAGGACCAAAGCAGTCTCAGTACTGTGTTCAAGACAACACATCTAGTAGGCCAAAAACTCAGACTGAAGCCCAGGTCTTCCAACACTAGGTAAAGAGGCCCTGGGGGCTACTCTCTAGTTTGCATTCAAATCATTCTTTTATCATTTATTAGATACATGATCTAAAGAAGATCACTGAATTTGGTATCTCGGTCTCCTTACTTACCATATATCTAACTAGGCTATGAGAAAAACTAAAGAAGATAGTGAATATAAAATTTCTTAGCTCCTGGCAATAGGAAGTATTCATCAAATAAATAACATAGTTATTGAATGTTAATGTTCTCAAATCCACTGTAGCACAGAAGGTCTTTTATTCCATGTTATGCTATTATAACAAATTACCTGAGGCTGGGTATTTTTTTTTTTAAGGGAAGAGGCTCATTTTGGCTTACAATTTTGGAGACCCAAAAGCATGGTGCTGGCTTTGGTGTCTGGTGACCTTCTCACAGTAAACGCAGTGGTAGTATAGATGACAATGACGGGTCACACAGTATGAAAGAGGAAGTAAGGGGGTGGTGCCCAGGCTCACTTTCCTGTAACTATTTTTTCTTTTCAGAAGAACCCACTCTTTAAAACCAGCTAAATTAGTTCCTTCATGAGTATAGTCAGCATACATTTCACTAGGTTCCCATCCCTTACATGTCCAACCACCTTTAGAAGAAAATCATTACAGTGTGGATTAAACTTCCAGTACCTGAACCTTTGGGAGATAAACCATAGCCAGACTATAACATCAGGCAATGTAATAGGAGGGCCACCATCCACCCCTACCCATCTCAAAAGTTTATCTGATGCCTATCAGTCTCAGCAGTGGTCTGACTCCTTTAAGTATTGCTTATAGGTAGTTGTTAGAACATCTTTATTTCTTCGTATATCTAATTATTGGGTCATTTTAGCTTTTCAAGATGGAATTCTATTATTCTATTCTACTCAACTCACAGCAGAATAACTTACATTCTTTTGAGCTTTCAGCTGATTGGATAGACAAACCTTGTGTGTGTGAGTTGTTTTGATTGATTTGATTGGCATTTACAGTAGCTCAAAGTGAGGTTGATTGATTTGATTGGCACTCAGAGTAGCTCAAAGTGAGGTTTGGAAGAGATGAGGCAGCTTCTCAGCCTAATTATGAAAACTGATTTTTCTTCCCTTCCATCCAGAATGTTCTGAAGTTCACTGAGCAGGAACACCCCGACTATTATCTACTGCTCGTGTGTGTTCAGCGCCTCCGGGTGTTTATCTCCCATTATACCCTGCTGTTTCAGTGCAACGAAGAATTGCTTATTCAGAAGCGGAAAAAACTCAAAAAGTAAGGTTGTGGTCATGCAGCACCTTACCAAGGTTTCTGAGAAGAGGGCATAGACCAGTCAGTTGAGTGGCTGGAATGTGGTGAAGTGAGGTAGAAGGAGGGGGGCAGAGGCAGTTAGGTTGGCCACAGGAGGGAAGTAACTTTAGAAGAAAAGCACTTTGGCTCTATTATCCCTTCTTATGTTGCTTCCCTTAACTTTTCTGATTCAAAACACACCTGTTGTGTGTTAGATACTATTGTGTCCAGTGAATATACCACAATGAATAAAACAGTCATAAAACCTCAGTCTTATGGGGCTTAGTCTTTAAGTGGTAAGGATATGTATGTGTCTGAATAGATTTCACAGAATGAAGAAAGCAAGTTTGAGTAGGTACCATCTGGGCCTTAGAGAATAGAAGCAATGAGAAAGACAGCATCTTCTAACCCAGTGTCCTGACAGGTGTGTCTGGGTACCACTCTGTATCCCCAAGCTCTTTTCAGCCAACTGCCAGCTATTATGTAAGCAACCTGGCTTATAGAGGGCTCTGGAGATAGAGAGCCCATTACAGAACACTTTGTCTGAGAGGAAAATCTTTTTCTTAGCCAGGCTCACACTGTATAACCTGAGATTTTTTATTTCCATCCTGTTAGGTCATCTATGGCAAAGCTGTACAAAGGCCTGGCTTCCCAGTGTGCCAATGCTGGCCAAGATGCTTCCCCCACTGCAGGCTCAGAAGCTGTCCGTGATAGTGGGATACACTCAGAAGAGATGCTCCAACCCTACCCTTCTGCTCCCAGTTCTGCCCCTGCTGTCAAGTAAGCATCTGTTGCTAGAGAAACATTCGCAGGAGTGCCCTTGAGTCCCAGGCAGTTTGTATAGGTGAGCAGACTGAAGTGCAATAGAAATGTGTTCAACAGAACTCCACCTTCTCCCTTGCCTCATCATTTCCATATTAAGCACCCAGCAGTTGATCTGATCCTTGGGTCCCAGAGAAAGACACTAAGAGGCAGATTTAGAAAGTGCTGACATTAACTCTTGAAGCAGTATACAATAAATAGAGGGAAAAGATCTACATTATACCCAGGCCAAACTATGGCTGTTATTATACTTTGTGTAGGGAAAATAAAAGCATCAATATTTTAAAGTAAGAATATTGGTTTAAGGTCAATTCATTCACTTTTTTCCATATATGTAAACATGAGTCCCAAGTTGCATTGTAAGATCAATGTCTTCAATCCCTTAAGATATTCAGTGTTAGTATTCACATATGTATCCATATACACTTCTGACGAATTAAAATTCACAAAAATAGAATAAAAATATTGGTCAAGGTACAGTGTTTATATTTGTCTGGTAAATAAGCAAAACAACAAAAATCCTATTTGATGGGTGTGCTACACTTTTTTTAACTTGTAAATCTTTTTATTATTATTATTTCTTGTTTTACATATCAATCCCAGTTCCCTCTCCTTCCCATCCTCCCATGCTCCCCACTCCAACTCCCATACCATTTCCAACCCACTCCAGAGGGAGGGTGAGGCCTTCTAGGAGGGGATCATCAAAATCTGACAAGTCATTTGGAGTAGGGTTTAGGCCCTCCCTCCTGTCTCTAGGCTAAGAGAGTATCCCTTCATGGGAAATATACTCCCAAAGTCGTTCATGCACCAGGGATACATCCTGGTTCCACTGTCAGAGGTTCCTTAGACTGCCTAGGCCTTCTAACTGAGACCCATGTTCAGGGGGTTTGAGTCAGTTCAATGCTGGTTTCCTAGCTATCAGTCTGGGGGTCCATGAGCTGCCCCTTGTTCAGGTCAGCTGTCTTTGTGGGTTTATGTAGCCTGGTCTTGACTCCTTTTCTTATCACTCCTCTGTCTCTGCAACTGGATTCCAGGAGTTCAGCTCAGTGTTTAGCTGTGGGTGTCTGCTTCTGCTTCCATCAACTACTAGATCTACTAGATGAGGGCTCTATGATGGCATATAAGTTATTTATCAATCTCATTACAAGGGAAGGGCATTTAAGGTAGCCTCTCCACTTTTGCTCAGATTGTTAGTTGGGGTCATCCTTGTATGTCTCTGGACATTTCTCTAGAGTCAGTTTTCTTTTCAAACCTATAATGGCTCCCTCTTTTATGGTATTTCCTTTTTTGCTCTCATCTCAATCTTCCTGATTCCACATGTTCTCCTTTACTCCCCTTCTCTTTCTCCTAACTCCCTTTCTGCTCACTGTCACCCACATTCCCAATATGTTCAGGAGATCTTGTTGCTTTCCCCTTCTGTGAGGGACCTTGTGTGAATCTCTTAGGTTCCTTCTTGTATCCTAGTTTCAATGACTGTGTGAATTATAGGCTGGTGATCCTTTGTTCTATGTCTAAAATCCATGTATGAGTGAGTGCATACCATGTTCCTCTTTTTGTGACTGGGTTACCTCATTCAGGATGGTTTCTTCAAGTTCCATTCATTTACCTGCGAATTTCAAGATTCCATCCCCCCTCCCAGAGTAGTATTCTAGTGTGCAAATGTGCCACATCTTCATTATCCATTCTTCAGTTGAGGGGCATCTAGGTTTCTTCCAGGTTCTTGCTATTACAAATAATGCTGCTATAAACATAGTTGAACAGATGTCTTTGTTGCATGGATATGGATTATGCCTAAGAGTGGAATTGCCAGGTCCTGTGGTAGACTGATTCCCATTTTCCTGAGGAACCACCATACTGATATCCAAAATGGCTGTACACGTTTGCACCCCCACCAGCAGTGAAGGAGTGTTCCCTTTTCTCCACACCATCTCCAGCATAAGCTGTCATTGGTGTTTCTGATCTTAGCCATTCTGGTAGGAGTAAGATGGTATCTCAGAGTTGTTTTGATTTGCATTTCTCTGATGTCTAAGGATGTTGAGCACTTTCTTAATTGTCTTTCAGCCATTTTGGATTCCTCTATTGAGAATTCGCTATTCAGTTCTGTACCCCCACTTTTAAATAGGGTTATTTTGTGTTTTGGTGACTAGTTTCTTGAGTTCTTTGTGTATTTTGGAGATCAACCCTCTGTCAGATGTGGGGTTAGTGAAGTCTGTGGGCTCCTATTTGGTCTTGTGGACTGTGTTCTTTGCCTTACAGAAGCTTCTCAGTTTTAGGAGGTCCCATTTATTAATTGTTGACCTCAGTGTCTGTGCTACTGGTGTTATGTTCAGTAAGTGATCATCACCTGTACCAATTTGTTCAAGGTATCTCCCACTTTTTCTTCTTTTTTTAAGTTTATTTTATATAACCAAGTCCATTTAAATGAAAACAAACATTTATAGACAATATTTGGGAATTTGGGCGTTGTTCTTTCCAAACTACTTCCTGCTGGTAAGGGGCGCTATCATGGGGGATTCGAAGAAGATCAGAAATCCTGGCTGTAGTCTGTAAGGCTGCTTTGTCCAGCTGTTTTGAATGTAGGATCATCTGGTACTCTGTTTCAGGTGGTCTGGCTTGATCAAACCATGTTAGTTTGGAAGGAATCCACATCTTTTCATTTTCTGTGGAAACAAAAATAGAAATCCTTTTGTCCAGTAACTTATCCATGGAGCTCTCAACTAATGCCTGTTGGAAACAGGAGCAAACACCCATACATAAACACTGAGTTGAAGTAGAACTCAGATGCAGATGGAGAGGACAAGACCAGGCTGCAGAAACACATAGAGACAGCTTACCTGAACAAGGAGGAGCTAATGGGCCCCCAGACTGATAGCTGGGAAGCCAGCATGGGACTGACTCAGGCCCCCCTGAATATGGGTCTCAGCCAGAAGGACTGAGCAGTCTAAGGGACCTCAGACAGTGGAGCCAGGATGTATCCCTGGTGCATAAAAGGAACTTGCGAACACACCCCCCCATGGAGGGATAACTTCCTTAATCTAGAGACAGGAGAGAAGTCCTAGTCCCTACTTCACATGACCTGTCAGACCTACATGACCCCAACTGGATGGCATTCTCCTACATATGGAATTGGGGTGGGGGGATGGGAGGGAAGGGTGGTTAGGATGTATGTGAGAGGGCAGAGAGGGTAAAAGGGAGGGAGGGAGGGAGGAGAGTTGGGAGGGAGGAAGGGAGGAAGAGGGAACTGGGATCGACATGTAAAATAATAAATTAAATTAAAAAAATGCTTTAACTCCAAAATTTAAGCCCACTTTCTCTTCTAAGAGGTTCATTGTGGCTGGATTTATGTTGAGGTCTTTGATCCATTTGGACCTTTTTGTGCATGGCCTTCTACACACCAGCACCATTTGTTGAAGATGCTTTCCTCCTCCCATTGTATACTTTTAGCTATTTTGTCAAAAATCAGGTGTTTGTAGGTGTGTGGGTTAATATCAGTTGTTTTTTATTTCATTCCATTCGTCTACCTGTCTATTTTTGTGACAATACCAAGCTGATTTCAGGACTGTAGCTCTGTAGTAGAGCTTGAAGTTGGGGATGGGGATGCCTCCTGAAGTCCCTTTATTGGACAGGACTGTTTTGCCTATCCTGGGTCTTTTGTTTTTCCATATAAAGTTGAGTATTAGCCTTTCAAGGTTAGTGAAGCATTGTGCTGGGATTTTGATAGGGATTGCATTGAATCTGTTGATTGCTTTTGACAAGATTGCCATTTTTACTGTTTATCCTACTTATTCAAGAACATTTTCTGCTATCTTCTTTAATTTCTTTCTTTAAAGACACAAAGTTCTTGCTATATAGGTCTTTCACTTGTTTGATTAGTGTTACCCCAAGATATTTTATATTGTTTGTGGCTATTGTAAAGGGTGATGTTTCTCTGATTTCTTTCTCAGAGTCTTTATCGTCTGTATATAGTAGGGCTACTGATTTTTCTGAGTTAATCTAGTACCATGCCACATTGCTGAAGGTGTTTATCAGCTGTAGGAGTTTCCTGGTAGAGTTTTTCGGGTCACTTATGTAAACTATCATATCATCTGCAAATAGTGACAGTTGACTTCTTCCTTTCCAATTTGTATCTCCTTTTGTTGTCTTATTGCTCTAGCTAGAACTTCAAATACAATACTGAAGAGATATGGAGAGATAGGGCAGCCTTGTCTTGTTCCTGATTTTAGAGGAATTGCCTTAAACTTCTCTCCATTCAGTTTGATGTTGGCTGCTGGTTTACTGAATGCTGCTTTTGTTATTTTTAGGTATGTTCCTGTTATCCCTGATCTCTCCAAGACCTTTATCATGAAAGGGTGTTGGATTTTGTCAAAGGCTTTTTCAGCATCTAGGGAGATGATCATGTGGTTTTTCTTTTTCAGTTTGTTTATATGGTGGATCACATTGATAGATTTTTCATATGTTGAACCATCCCTGCATCCCTGGGAAGAAGCCTACTTGGTCATGGTGGATTTCTCTGATGTGTTCTTGGATTCGATTTGCCAGTATTTTATTGAGTAGTTTTGCATCGATGTTCATGAGCGATATTGGTCTGTAGTTCTCTTTCTTAGTTGTGTCCTTGTGTGGCTTGGGTACCAAGTTAATTGTGGCCTTGTAAAAAGAGTTTTGTAATGAACCTTCTGCTTCTACTGTATGGAACAACTTGAGGAGTATTGGCATTAACTCTTCTTTGAATTTCAGGTAGAATTCTGCACTGAAGCCATCTGGCCCTGGGTTTTGTTTTGTTTTTGTTGAGAGGCTTTTGATGACTGCTTCTCTTTCATTAGGGTTTATATGTTTATTTAAATTGCTTATCTGTTCTTGATTTAATTTTGGTAAGTGATAGCTATCCAGCAATTTGTCCATTTCTGTTAAGTTTTTGAATTTTGTGCAGTACAGGTTTTCAAAGTATGACCTGAAGAGTTTCTGGTTTTCCTCAGTGTCTATTGTTATGTCCCTGTTTTCATTTCTGATTTTGCTGATTTGCATGTTCTCTCTGTGCTTTTTAGTTAGTTTTGATAAGAGTTTGTCTATCTTGTTGATTTCCTCATATTGATTCTTTGTCTTGTTTTCCTAGTTTCTACTTTATTGATTTCAGCCCCTTTCTAGGGCTTTCAGTTATGCTGTTAATTCTCTAATGTGACTATCCTCCAGTTTCTTCATATGGGCCCTTAGTGCAATGAACTTTCTTCTTTCCTTGCTTTCTTTAAGAGATTTGTTCATTTCTTGCATTTTTTGCTTGGTCTTTCCCTCTATTCCAAATTTTTAGTTATTTTTTTCCTTCCATTTCTTTAAGGGATTTTCTAATATCATCTGTCATTTTCATAAAGTTATTTTTTAAGTCGTTCTCTTCTGCTTCATCTGCTTTGGTGCGTTCAGGTCTAGTTGGTGTAGAGTCCCTAGATTCTGGTGGTGTTATATTTCTTTCTTTTGTTGGATGTTTTCTTTTATTGCTATCTTCCCATTGCTTCTCCCAGTGGGTGCACGTGGAGTCTCTCTCTATACCCTGCTCTCCCAGTGGGTGTAGGTGGGTCAGGAGTTCGATGTCAGTAACTGTGGATGATCCAAGCTCTCTTGGATATCTCAAGCAGAGGCCACAGCAGGGCCAATGATGTGGGGAATGCAGGCTCAGGTGGTCTCAAGCACTCAGGCAGAATGCAGGGGAAGGGGCCCAAAGGTTAGGTGAGGGCAAGCTCAAGATGCTCCCTAGTGGAGGGAGTCTAGTATGTGCAGAGCCAACCCAGGAAGTTCCAAGGAGATGGTGGTGGTGTTGGACCTGCACTCTGGGCAAATGCTCATCCTGATCAGTGGGCCCTGTGTCTTACACTTTTTAAACTATAAAAATTGCTATGTGCTCCCAGACAACAAATAGAAACTGGGCAAATTCTGATAGCTTTACATTGAATATATATATATATACATATATATATATATATATATATATATTTGTACTTAAGGAAGAAAGTTTATTTTGACTTACAATTCCAGAGGGAGGAGAGCCTCTCACAGTAGTACACAGGCAGGGCAACAAGGGATAGGGATAATAACAGGAGCTGAGAGACCACATCTATAATTGAAAGCTGAAAGCACAGAGCTAGCTGGAAGTGATGCAAGGGGGTTAAATTCTCCAATGGCACCAGTGATGAACTTCCTCCAGTGAGGCTGTACCTCTCCATAACCTTCAAACAGCATCATCAATGCCCAAGCCTATTTGGGACATTTCTCATTCAAATCACCAAAGTCAACTGGTTTTCAATGTAATTATAGTTCACCTTAAGAATAAATCTCTATGCATGCTTCATAATTTCTGAAGTTTAGTGTATTAATATTTTCAGTTATCTTAACTACATCAACCAAAATGTATCTTATGCAGAAAGTAATATATTGTCTAATTACTTTTCATGAGAGCATGTTTTCACTACAGTTTTATAAATGATAGTATCTAATGTGACACAGAATCACATATATGTTCAGAAACAGACTGTATCATCTGCTCAGAACAGAATGAGACCAGGTAAAGAGCAAAATGACTCTGTAGTGCAGCAATGGACACCCAGCTGCTTAGTAGTTTCCTGAAATGCAGGAAATCTTATTCCTGAAACAAATAAAGCTAAAGAGAACAACCATGAAGCAGCATCTTCATATTTAGCCAAATATTTATATTTACATATTTAATCATATCTCACTTTCTTCCAAAATAGATTTGAGATCTTATGCAACAAGATGATGTTACTTGTGCTGCCACAAGTGGTGGAATCACATTGGAATCCATTTACATCACTAGCTGGGAATAAACATATTTAGGAAAATCTTTGTATTTAGTATTTTCATTAAGTTAAAATGAAAAATCCATACCTTTTTTTATTTAGTACTAAGAAGTTATGTATGGATCTTTATTTTTATTTTCTAATTACATTGGTTTTTTTTGTGTGTATATATACGTGTCTGTATGTGTTAGGTAGGTGTGCATGCATGCAACAACACAGGTGTGGATGTCAGAAGACAATTTGAAGGACTGTGCAAGTCCCAGAGATGAAACTCGGTTCTTCATGCTGGTGGCAACTACCCTTTCAAGCTGAGCAATCTTGCTGGCTTGAATCTTCAGTATTTGTCTGTTTCGAGTAGTTTTCCAGCTGGTCTGGTCCCACTGCCCCGCCAGCCCCAATTAACACACAGAGACTCTGTATTTGGTATAATGCTGTTGGCTAGGTACTAATTTCTTATCGGCTAGCTCTGTCTTAATGATTAACCCATTTCTATTAATCTAAGTATTTCCACATGGTCTCATATTACTGGAGAGAGGGCCAGTGCTCTGCTCTCTCCAGTCTCTCTGTGTTGACTCCTCCCTACTACTTTCTCGAATCCTCCTTATCTCCTAGTCCTGCCTATCTTGCTTTCCTATTGGCCAACAGTGCTTTATTCATTTATCAGTGTGAGAAACATATTTACAGAATGGCATCTCCCATCATTTGTCTGGTATTTTTTTTAACAGTTGTTTAGTAAAACAATTTTGCAATATTTTGTTTCAACTTCATCGCATAAAAGAGCCCAGTTTCTGTATCTTGACTATCTTTGCATCATCGTTGGGTTGTAGTGAGGGCTCTCTTCTGAGCTGTACATTACTCCGCAGAGAAGAGCTGAATTAATGTTTTATGGGTTTAACATCAATCAAGATGTTTTACAGCCACGAATATTTTTAAAAAAGTTTACTACAGAAATGCAAATTTTACACATTTGAGTTAATCCTCAAAAACAAACAAAAAAAATGAAAACAACAAAGTGTATAGTGTTCTTGCTAAGGGCCCAAATTTAGCCAGGTGGTGGTGGTACATGACTTTTAGGCTAGCCTGGTCTATAGAGTGAGTACCAGGACAGCCAGGACTACTCTCTGTCTCGAAAAAAACCAAGTTTCTTTATTACTATCCATAGTTCAACAGTTTATTTCAGAAAACAGCTGTTTATGTGTCAAGATCTAGAGGCTGTATCAAGTTCATTGTCCAGGATTCTGTATGTGACTGCCACAGCAAAGGGTGAGAAACTAAAGGGTTATCTTGGGAGTTGCCTGGTGGCAGGGAGGCTTGGAGCTTCCATCAGGCCAGTGATAATGTCAGCCTTTGTCTGTCAGCCATCTGATATCTCAGTGACTTTCCTGGCTGCTGTTTCCACTCCTTCAGGGGGGTCTAGGGATTCTTGAGAGATCTTCCCCTAGTTTGTGGAGCTTGATAGGTTATCCACGAAGGCACTTGGGAAGGGAGGAGAGGAGTTGGCCGCGTACTATTCGCTTGGAGAGAGCTCAACACTATTTGATCTTCTTTCTTGTATTGTTTCTCCTTTAAAGACATTTGATGCCCCCAGCGAAGAAAGGCCAACAGCAGCAAAGCCTCATGGAGAGCATGCAGCCCGGGAAGCCGGGGGACTGGGAGATGGAGGGCAGAAAGCATGACAGGCCTGAGAGCCTACTGGCCCCAGCACAGTTCTGCACAGCCGAGCAGGATGTGAAGGCACTCACGGGGCCGTTGCAGGCCATCCCAGAGATGGATTTCGAGCCGTCCCCAGCTGAGCCGCTGGGCAACGTGGAGCGCTCGCTGCGTGGCCAGCCCGAACTCCTACCAGATGCACGCGGCTTTGTGCCCGCGAGCTATGAGGAGTTCGAGTATGGAGGAGAGATCTTCGCGCTGCCCGCACCTTACAACGAGGAGCCCTTCCAGGCGCCAGCCCTCTTCGACAACTGCTCGCCCGCCTCCTCCGAGTCCAGCTTGGACATCTGCTTCCTGAGGCCCGTCAGCTTCGCCATGGAGGCCGAGCGGCCTGAGCACGCGCTGCAGCAGCTGCCCAAGAGCGCTACGTCGCCAGCGAGCAGCAGCAGCGCCTACAAGCTGGAGGCGGTGCAGGCGCAGGCGCACAGCAAGGCCAAGCCGCTGAGCCGCTCGCTCAAGGAGTTCCCCCGCACGCCGCCCGCCGAGGGCGTGGCCCCGCGGCTCTACAGCACGCGCAGCAGCAGCGGTGGCCGCGCGCCACTCAAGGTCGAGCGCGTTGCTGCCCCGCACGGCCCCGCCACCGCCGCCTCCCGTGGGGCGCCGCGGACCTTCTTCCCCCAACAGAGGTCTCAAAGCGAAAAACAGACCTATTTGGAAGTAAGGAGGGTAAAGTAAAACCGAGCCGAAGCCCGCCGCGGCGCCCCAGGCCTAGATCTCAGGGCCAGCCCCGGTTCCCTTGGTGGGGAGGGAGGAGGCAGAGGCGGAGCCCGCACACGCGTGATGATAGGCCCTGGTCTTGGTGGCCTTCGAGCGCTAGTGGCAGGGCGGTACCACACCAACAGCACAAGGGCAGGGAGAGAAACAACACATCAGTGCACAGACATGCTCACAGACACACCAAGAGGGAGGGACAGATGTATATACAGAGTAAACAAAATTCTTACTTAAGGGCTGCACAGCCTGCTCGGTGCACCTCCTGGTCCAAATGTACACAATACTGAGCATTGTGTGCTAGCCACCTCTAGTTAATCTTTCTTTGTATCTGTATCGACCACGAAGTTTGTTGCAAAGAGTATTTTTGCTTGCTTTCTTAAAAAAAAGGCTGTATTGACTCAAATGCACCTTTAGCTTCGATGAATGTTGAGACATGTTGCTGCCTGTCCTTGGTGTCTACAGGCCTTGGTGTATTTAAAAGTATGTTCCAACCCTAACCACCAAGAGGCAGGCAACACACACGGTTTCAATGTGATAGAAACAATTAATTAAGCTTATTAACACCATAGCTCTCATCTGTGCTGTTACTTTCATTATCAAGAGAGTGGATCATGTTGATGGTTACAGACTCATTTAATTTTCCAGCCAACACTGTTCCTGCTTCAGAAATAAACAGTCCAGAATGTCTCATAGGCTTAGTACACAGAATTATAAGGATGAACTAGGGGCACAGAGTAGGGATATCTAAAACCTCTTGGGGTGATGATGTTAGAGAATGCATTCTAGGTACATGGATTATCTGAATTAATTTTAAAAGCTGCTTAGAAGCTACTGGGGGAAGAGCAAGGTAGTGAAGCTTAAAAGGAAAGGACTTCTTGGGTGTAGAATCCCTGGGTAGCTTTTCCTTTGGCATGCTGGGAAAGGTGGAAAGAAAGTTCCAGAAACAGGAGGGAACAGACCATGGCAAGCCCTGGAGTTTGCTGCCTACCTGGGTTCCAGGAATCGAACACCCCAATACTGTAGTCTAGCAAAACCACTGACATTCTTCATGAGTCGAATTTTTCTTCCGGCTCTGATTTCTCAACTCCAAATCTTAAACAATCCTATTGGGTAAAGTTTCTGAGACAAATCAATTCTAGGTAATCTTGAAAGTTTGTTAAAAGGGGAAATAAAAGGGAATTTACAATATCAGTTTAAACTGGCATGGGCAGACGCTTACATCAAAGAATGTTCATAAAAATGTGAGGTTTTTTTTTTTTTTTTTTTTTTTTGCCCTAATTCATGTGTGAAGTTTTTGAAAACTGGAATAATTGCCTGGGGAAATATTGATCAGAAATAACAAATATACTTGAGAAGCAAACAATAAATGATATATTTGGCTGTTTACCAGATGTACCTCATAGCAATAACAATATAGTAGCATTTCTTAACATGGGAAGACGAATTAGGTCAAGAGACACCAAGGAAGAGTTCAGGAGAGAAGGGGCTGTGTGTGTGTGGACATACATGTTTATGAATGTAAATGTAACACATGCGTGGTGTGTGTGTGTGTGTGTGTGTGTGTGTGTGTATTTAAGGTGGGGATAGAATTGGGACTGTAGTTGCACAAGATAACCCTGTGAAACTGTATCCTGAAAGGGGTCAGTTTTTAGTTGTCAGGGTGAGCCAAACTATTCAGCTTCAGTTTACCTGTGAACAGATGACCCAAAGCCAGTTTTAGTGTTTTTATTGAGATCCAACAAAGAAGACAGTGTGTTGGAACTCTAGTTTCTAACCCAGGCTCTGCTATCAAATAGTTGCCATCTTTGGACAATTCACATGACTTCCCTATACCTCCAGTTTTCTTATTTATGAAAATAAGATATGTAGGGAGCTGGAGAGATGGATCAGTGCTTAAGAGCATTTTCTGCTCTTCCAGTGGACCCAGGTTCAATTCCCAGCACCCATATGGCAGCTCTCAACGGTTTATAACTCCAGTTCTAGTGGATCTGACATCCACTTCTTGTTTTTGTGGGCATCAGGCATGCACATGCTGCCTGACATATATGGAGGAACACTGATATAAAAAAATAAGACATCTAGTGGGCAGCAAGATGGCTCAGCCAGTAAAACTGCTGACCTGATTTTGGCCCAGATCACACAAGATGACAGGGGAGAACCAACTGCTCAGGAGTTGCTTCTGACTTCCACAAAGTCTCTCTGGCACCTATGTCCTGAACACTCATATTCTCTCTCTCTCTCTCTCTCTCTCTCTCTCTCTCTCTCTCTCTCTCACACACACACACACACACACACACACCAACCAACCAAACAAAACAAAAACAAACCAGTAAAAATTTTGCTAGTGAAATGGCTCAGTAGATAGAGGCACTTGTCACCATGCCTGAGGACTTGCATTCCACCCCCAGAAACTACATGTTGTAAGGAGAACTGATTCCTGCAAGTTGTCCTCTGACCTACACATGTGCCCTGGCATGTGAAGCCATCCCCCATCCCAATTAATACATGTGATCATAATTTCTAAATGGTGAATTACCTCATAGGGTTGTGAAGATCAGACCAAACAAGGTAGTTTCAGAGTATGCTTTGTAAAGTATGAAATGCTATACTGATGAAAGATGATATTAAGACCATGGTTCCACAGACAGATATTCCTTAAAGAATTTATAGTTTCCCTGAAGGGAGGATTTGGCATGAATCCTAGTTAAAGACTACTTTAATGAAGGGGCCACAGTTGATAAGGAGGCAAAACCAGGCTCCCTCCTGTGAGTTCTGAAATTCTAAGTATGGATGTTTTATCATTGAGCAGGTATTTTGGCCAGCGCTATAGCCTTGCTTTAGTCTCCACAGGTACCTCCCAAAACGTATTTTATAAATTTTATCAACCCAGAAACTATAGCAAGACCTATTGAATCAGAAATTACTATTTAGGATTTCTAGTTAGGCGTTTGCTATAAACAGAGAAGTGCATTGGGCAGAAGCTTACCTGAAACCCCTGGTTTTCTATCTAAGTATACACAACAATTACATATAGGCTAGAGATTGTGCCTCAGAGACTTGAGGCTTAAGGATCTGTGTTTTTTAATAAAAGCAAGTGTAGATGGTCCTAGGATACCAGGAGCATACTGTGAGAAACATTGCACTAAACCACCAAGATTCTGCTCTTCTCAGCAGCATTTCAGACTTTCCAGGGTGGCTACTACAACCCTGAATGATGTTTGCAAACCCAGATTTAGACATTTCCTAGAAAAGCCTCTTGCCCATGCTTTGCTCCTCTCCGAGCAAGCAGGCAGTCACTCATTGGGACCTGCAGGGCACTGCCAGTGTGTTTCCTGTTTTCACTTCTTAGGGTCATGCAGGCAGCTGCTTTAGGATTGTTTTTAAATCACAGTCACCTTGAAGTAAATATTCTGTTCATGTAGAATATTTAAGTAAGTTTGTGTTCATACCCAACACATATTTTTATATGCACTTAAGTATGTTTGCACATGGGCTGGAGAGATGGCTTAGCAGTTAAGAACATTGGCTGATCTTCCAGGGAACCCAGGTTCAATCCCTAGCACCCACATGACAGCTCATAATTGTCTGTAACTCAGGTTCCAGTTGATCCAACTCCCTCACACAGACATACAAGTAGGCCAAACATCAAATATACATTAAGAAAATAATAAATATTGTGTACATGGTAACATTTTACATTTGAAAATAAACAAGTGCATAAAAGTATCTTTATTTTTAATGAACTCTAAACATGAGCCAAGTTAATATAAGTAGAATGAAAGCAAAGTTTAGACACACCAGTTAGATAATTCTCAACAGGTCTGACCTCTTTAAAAAAAAACTACTTTCCACTGAAATACAGATTTGGGAACAGGACTTTAAAATTATGTTTACATTGTTGGTAGCATCCTGTTGATCTCTGTTTCTCTTAAAAGTAAAACAGACAACAGTAATAAAAACCCCTTAATATTGAGTTTTTTTTTTATTTTGTAGAAAGAGATATCAGGGTTCAAGCATTGGCTTATTTTCAGCAAGACACAGTTGTTGCTAGCACAAAGTTTATTTTCTATACTTATGGTGGCTATAGAGATGGCTCAGTGGTTAAAAGCACTGGCTGTGCTTCTAGGGCAACCACATGGTGGCTCACAACTCTTTGTAACTCTAGTTTTTGGGAGTTTTATTGCCTTCCTCTGGCTTCCATGGGTATCAAGCATATACATGGTACATAGACATACAACCAGGCAAAACACCCATACACATAAAAGAAGAATATATTCATTGTTAATTGTGTGTGCCATGGCAATCATATCAAGGTCAGGAAATGCCCTGATTAGGTTTTTGTCAGCTTGACAGAAATAAGAGTCAATTGTAAAGAGAAAGCTCAGCTGGGAAAATGCCTGTGTCCGATGGCTGTATCCAGGTCTGTAGGGGCATTTTCATGATTAGTAATAGAGTAATAGTGATAGAGGAGGGCCCAGTCCTCTTTGGTAATGGTGGTAGGGTGATAGGTCCATGGGTCATGCCACCAGTCAGGTGGAGAATAAGCCAGTAGGTAAAGTTTGTCCATGGTTTGTTTATACTTCAGTTCTTGGCTCTTGAGTTCCTGCCCTGTTACCTGTGTGAGATAAAATAAGCCCTTTCTTTCCGAAGCTGCTTTTGGGTCATGACCTTTATTTATCACAGCAATAGAAAGCAAACAAGGACAGAGAGCAACTTGTGGGGTCTACTTTCTCCTTCCACCTCTATGTGGGTTCCAGGAATTGAACTCTTGTCCCAGGTTTGTGTAGCATGCGCCTGTGCATGCAGAGCTATGCTATCAACCATACAGTCTATACTTTGTATTGGTAGCTCACTTCCTTTATTTACTTATCTTTATTATTGTATTCTGCTGTGGACTGCCTTCATTTGTAGAAAGACTTGCACTCGAACAATGTTCCTTTTTCCACCTGCTCATTTCATCACCCTAGGCATGTTTTTGCTGGGACTAGAAAGCCATAGATAGTCAAGGGAGTAGGAGAGGCAGGTGGCAAAGCTAAAGAACTATCCCACAGCCAGGGTATATAATTTCTGGAAAAGAGTAAAAAAAGTGCCTTTTTTTGTGTGTGTATTTTCAGGAGATGCACTTAGAGGATGCCACCCGATTCTGTCCAAAGGAAGAAAGAGAGAGTGAACAGACTTCTTTCAGCGATCAAACTCCCAGGCAAGACCAGAAAGGGGGCTTTCGCAGCTCTTTCCGCAAGCTCTTTAAAAAGAAGTGAGTAGCCCTGAGATGAAACAGTGTTGTAACTCATTTCCCTTTGGCAGAAATCTGAGGTTTTAACAGTATTAATTACTAAGTAGCCTGGTCTCACACAACTGTTTCAAGTTCAGTGTTTGTACCCAACTTCTGAGCAGAAGCAAATTCAGCTCCCCTAGTCACTTCTTAAAATTCTTCCTCTTCATTCCCAGAATTGTGTCCCGAAAGAAGTAGCAGAGAGGGTGCCCTGGCAAATAGGCTGAGAGGGATTCTTTATGGGAGCTGGGTGTTCAGTCAGGACCTCCCATATGTGGAACATGATGAGGGCATGTCAGCTTCTGCCCTCATGGGCCTCAGCATACTGACTCTAAAAAAAATTAGTGTTGGTATTTGTCAGGGTTTTCCCTGAATGAATGGATTTGGCTCAGGTCCTAGTGAAAACTTTTAGTGTCCATATTAGACAGGAAACAAAAGAAGTTTCCCTCCTTGGTCTTTCTAAATCTTGTTTTTGTCCAGCACCATGTTGCAGCTTAGAAGGTAGGGTCAGGTTCCAACATAAATGTAAGGAAGAGAGAGATGACTCTTAACATTTGACCAGCACATGATTCAGCAGCCCACCCCTTGCCTACCTGGGTAGCTGCTGTTTCTCCCTCTGAAGGCCCTCAGGCCTACCTTCCTCTAGGGAGACCACCTTGCTATTTACTTGCTCTTATTAAAAATCATTGTAAGTTGTTTTTCATCCTCAAGTCTATATTCGAATTATTGGAAACATTAAATGAAGATGTTATTGTTGCCTTTGGAGACTTACTGGGAAACCACTTTCTCCTTGAAGGTGGAGTTACTGGTCTTGGTGATGGAGGAAGAGGGGAAAGCCTTCAGTTGGCTTTCTTTCTTTTTTTTTTTTTTAATGATTTGTCTATAATTCTCCTCCACTGGGAGGGTGGTGCTGAGATCAGTGGATATCTGATTGTTGGTCCTTGCCTGTTGTTACTAGAAGGAGGAGGAGGAGGAAAGAAGAACAGTGGTTCTACAGTTAACCACAGCCCTACAGTCTGTCTCTTTCCCCGCAGTTAACCACAGCCCTACAGTGTCCTGCAGTTTTGCTAGGCAACCCAATGCATGCATGACTGTGTTGGACCTCAAGTCATTTTATTTGATTGAGGCTGATTGAGGCTTAAGAACTGTTGATCCCTCTCTAGGGATTTATATTTTTCTTGGTCTATAACTGATAGTGGCATGAGTGGGAAGAAGTAGACAATTTGGTAGTTTAAACTTGGGATTTAGACTCTAAATCCTTTGAAGAACTCCAAATGTCTAAGGACACACATTATTTGAGTCTTTTGGATATTTTTTTAAGTCATAAGATTCCCAAAAGAAGTAATTATTTGTTGCTTACCAATCAGCAATATATCCACCACTGGTTCCTTTACAAATTACTATTTATCAAAGAGATGTAACAAAATGGACTATTAGTTATATGAAACATAGGGGACAGATCTGCCCTTTTTTATCCAGAGAGCAGAACCAGCAGAAGTGAGGAGGAAGAGGAACACTCTAAAAATGCACCTGCCTGGACCTGGTGGACTTACGAGTGTGTGGGTCCTCTGAAATAGAAGCTAGACGGTTCTGCCTGGGGTATTCTTACCCTGGGTGAGAGGTTGCTCAAGAGATCACCAGTCCTTTCCAATATGCTTTATCTGTATACTCAGTATACTCTGACTTTACTGTAGCTCAGTCTGAATAGTCACTTGTCTTCATCACCCCAAAGTAGATGAATGTGATGTTGGGCCTGTAATTTTAAAGGTCCCCAAAAGAGAAAGCCATACAATCTTTTTATAGCTCCCTGCCCCCACAGACTTTGGTACAGATGCCTTGCTTTGTGCTCTCCAGATACACACTGGTTAATTGTCTTCAGTCCTCCTTCAATTTTGGGTATTTTTCTTAGGGAGAAGGACAGTGGATTCTCTTAGTTCTCATGTAGACAAGTCTGCATCAGTCATATTATTGTCAACAATAATGGCACTGTCTTTTGTATTTAAACTGTGAAGTATTATCTGCGTGGAGGTGACAGTAGAGCTACTTAGATGATTCTTCCTCTGGCCTGTTTTCCTGGCTTGGAAGGTCTAGTCTAGTACAGTCAATACCATGCAGGCAGTTCCCACTACAGCTTTGTACTAAGGGAGCTCTTCAGGGACGTGGTAAGGGTTAAAGAAGCAACTTAAATAACATCTTCTGAGTTTGTCATCTAAAGACCATGGAAAGTCTGTTAACAACCACATTCTTGTATGGTATTGCAGAGAGAAAGGGTAAGGAGGCCCCAGGATAGCATGGAAGGGCCTGTATTTTTAAATGTAAAAACCACGATTTTTGTATGTCTGCATAATTCCAGGCATACATAAAGAATCATGAATAATATGGTCTCAGCCATTCCATAGGAACTTGCATTCTGAACTCAGGAGTGTATAGGATGAAAGATAAACTATTCCTTCTAGAAAAATCTACATGGAGATTGTTAAAGACTTAAACCTTGATTATTGTAAAAAATGAGGTGAAGATAGAAAAAGTCAAGACATTTTGTGTGTCAGGAAGTCAGTTGGCAGCAAGTCCAGTGACCTGAAGTAGCTAAACCTGGGTACTGGACACTCTAGAGCCTAGTCTTGTAGGTCCAAATGGGCAGGCCTAGGAAAGCCAATCATGTTCTGTTTGGGGCTTACTGCCTTCCTTCCCTATAGCCCTCTGGAGGTTCAGTTCTGTCTACACTGACACACTTTTTGTTCCATAGGGGCTTGTTTGGCTGGTGGCCCCACACACCCAGAATGCTGCTTCGGGATGAAGCTAGGCATGGAACCAGATGCAACAGAAAACCCGAGAAAGGGTTCTCTTCCCTCTGAGGCTGGGAGGGCCGAATGCTCATGCCCACAAGGATTCAAAAGGCAGAGTCAAGTTGACATCATAAAAAAATATTCTGAAAAAGTGCCCATGATATTTGAGGAAAAGGGTAACCCTTTCATTGTTTCCATCTCAGACACATTTGCCCTGGGCTGACACCAGGTCATAGGTCCCTGAAAGCTGTGCAGAATTGGTTAGAACAAAGTCTACTGGCTTAAAGTCTGAGAATGTTAAATGACTTTACACATTTTAAATGTGATTCTTAGAAGCCAGGGAACAGACCTGATATGAAAGGCTAATGCTTAACTAAGAAAGATGAAAGATAAACTATCCCCTCAATACACATGGACACTGTCAAAGACTTAAACCTAACTGTTGTTACAGCTGAGGCAGATGCTTTTTCATCTTTATTTATAACCCTTTTACTTGCATAAGTGAGTATTCTTGGTGGGGTATAGCAGTGAGGAAGAGATCATGTAAGGCAGTGTAAGGGTGAGGCCTGTAGATGGTGCTTCCATCCTTTAGCATCAATTTTGTGGGTAGTGGAAGATGAATACACCATCTAACTGGTCATATTTCTTCACCATTTCTCTCCTTTTAGTATGTCATAATTTATATGATTATTTCTGTTCCAGCCATCCTACTCCCTCCACGAGTTGCATCAACCTCTATTTTCTTCATCACATGGTCAGGGGTACTTGTGCAGGGCCCATGTATTTGACACTTATTTTTATTAGTATGTTTATTTAGTAGGTATGCCTGTCTATGTATAGGTGTGCCCATATGTGTCTGGGGATATGTGTATGAGTTCATACATACACGCACACTTGTGGATGCTTATGGACCCCTGAAGCTGACATGAGCATCTTTTTGACACATGTCCATCTTCTTATTGAGTCAGGCTCTCCCAGTTGAACACAGAGTTCATTGATATGGCTAGGGTGAGTCCTTTGATTTGGTGTCTTCTCAGCGTTTTTGTATATGTCTCCTGTGTGGGACAGTCCAAAAAGCTGAAGACAGGACTCTAAAAATTAGTTCATCATTTTACACTCATTTTCTCTACCTCCTTAAAACCCACCCTAGCCCCACCTTCCCTCTTGTTGCTGTTCCATCATATCTCGTTTAATTTCCTATGTACTTTGCAGATTCAAGAGGGATGCTTGAAAGGGCGAGAAATTTAGGTTACCTGACTCTGGTTGAGAATGCTTCTCAGCAGGTCATCTGTAATCAGTTATTTTTAAGTGTCTTCAGTGTATTAGGTTCTTCCCAGAACAAAACAAATAGAAGAAATATAGCTCCTGCCCATTTGGAGCTTATAGTTCAAAGTAAGTGTAGCCTAGCTATATTCACCACTCTGTGAATGCCATGGTTGACTGATTAGCTAAATAGGACAGATGCTCTTACCCTCTTCATGTGAATCCCCTAACCTTGTGAAGGAGGGTAATCTTTCACATCAGAGACATATGTGGCACTGAATTTTACCTCCATTCCTCAACTCCAATTTTTCAGGTTTATCTGTAGCAAAGGTTTTTCTTTTTCTCTGTCACTTGAAGGATGGTTAGCAACAATTCTGTTGTTTCCCCCTTTCTGTCAAATGATTGGATGACAGAATATATTGACAGCCATTGCACTCCTCACAAAGAGTTCCTAACTGTCCTTCTAGTATCTGCTCAGAAATCCCCTGCAGCTTGCCAAGATGGTATAGGGTGTTTAAAAGCCATTTCTGTATTTTACAGAAAGAGAATAAAAAGAAAACACACTTCTCTTTCTCCTGGATTCTGCAGATTTTTCCTTCTACCTATTTACACCCACACCCTTGGAAGAGTCCAGGTATACCTATAGTATGTTGAACATTATAAAAGTCAGCTAAAATTGTATTTTAAAAGATGAAAATGAGCTTTGAATCATTCCTATAGCAGAATTCTGGATTTTGAAAATGATTAATAAGTTAGCCACTAGTTACTTAGTAGTTAATATTCAGAAATGCAGACATTTGAACTGGAAACAAAGGGGAGGTACAGTTTGTAAGAAGAGCAGTTAAAAAAGAAAAAAAAATCTGAGCTGAGTTTGTGGAAACTAGACAGGGCGATTTTGGCATTTGTTTCAGAAATGGGAACACAACTGGTGAAGATTTCTGTGGTCCTTGGGGCTGGTGGTGACATCAAAGCTTTCCCATTTCCAGGTAAACTCCAGTTGCATGTGGGATCCTCCAAGTGTGACGTGTTGGGTTTTGGAGAGATCAGATGTAGGTAGGTAAGAGGGAAAATGTGAGATGAAGTTTCAAGTGTAGATTAATTATTTTATTGAGAAGTTGGCATGGGGGAGAAAAACTGAGAAGAGGCAGCCACAATTGAATCTGCTTCCTGCTCCTGCTTCCTGCCCAAAAAACCAAGGCCTTCTAGGCTTCCAGATACTGGAAGAGAGGCAATGAGTTAATAGCCAAGATGTCTCCTACTAACATCTGGGGTACAACTGTGCTAACCAGGGATCATTTGAACTGGAGGAAGGCAAGAGTTCTCAGAGCTGAAAGCAAACCTGGAGTTTTAGGGAGGGTGTGAGCCAGTTTTCAGGGAGTTTAGGCTGGTCCCAGGTACTGTGTTATCTCATGAGTATCCAGAGCTGAGAGACAGAGTAATTTTCCTCTGTCTACTGGGATACAGTGGGAAAGTACTCCTTTCTAATCAGAAGTAAAAGCATGTTGGGTAGCTATGGCTTCTTTTTTTGATACCAAGTTCATTCGTTAGGTTTGCAGACATTTTTAGTCTTTCTGTAGATCCAGTGTTTTTACTTGAATACTAGAAAAGGATGTCTGAATTCTTCCCAATAAGATCAGTAAATATAGATTCATATTAGTAAGAATAATTTGTAATAGCAAGGACTTGGGCTGGGGATATATAGCAGTAGAACACTTGCCTTGTGTGTAATGGGCCCTGGAGCCAATTTCCAGCACTGCCAAAACAGAACAAAGTAAAGCAACTCTCCCATAAAATAACCAATGAAAACCTCCCAAACAAATAAGGACTCAAAGATAGTACCCCAATGACATTGAAAGAACCTAGAGGCCAGGTATCTTGCCTATGTGTTGAGGGAAAGTAGCATTTGGAGAAATTGTTCATTTGAGAAGCTTTGGAGCATGACCTTCCTACATTCCACACAAGGACTTCTGGCACTGTTTCTTGGGTAGCAGGCTAGTTTTACACATTCTAGCTCGAAGTTTAAGTGAGAGGGCCCAGGCTAGTTGTATGAGAGGTTATGTCTAGAAAGCCTCCTCCCTCTAGGGATTCTGACATGAACAGACTGGGGAAGGTACAGAGCTGGAATGGACTGCCCAACTGGTTTAACCAGGAGAAAGGAAGAATGCACCCTGGACTGGGGACTCAAATGGACTGAGTTGACTATTGATTAGTCTTGGGCTCCTTTGTGTGGTTGAGATAACTGTACTAATTTCTGCATTCTACCAAATGTAGCGTATTTCTGGTTGGTTTTAATAAATCTGTCCTTTAAGAATGAAAACAAGCAGAAGCAAGAGTTTGTAATATAATGCCTAAATTTAAGCAAGGGCCTTGATAACCATTTTAATTTAAGGGACTTGATAATCTTCAGACTAGTTATTTAATTGAATTAAAAATAGTTTTGAGCTTTTATTCCCGTTACAATGCTTTCACACGGTAACTTATACTGACACATACAGTTGTCACAATTGTTCTCTTGAAGCACTAGAGAGAGATTCTGTATGTTCACTGCAAAATTTAGAAACACATACTTAAGTTCTGAAATTCAGGGGAGTAAAAATGATTCCAGATCTAGGAGGCAACTGTTTTACAAATGCAAAACAATTTGGATAGATAAAATATTTGAAAACAATTAAAACCAAATCAACCTGTACTTTATCTGTGTGCTGAGATTTTAGGTCCAGTGGATCAGAATACAGGGAAAAAACTAATGAGAATCCCTCAATGGATCCTTCACCCACCAAACAAGATTTCTTCAGAAACCGACTTGCTCTTGCAAATGACCTTGACCAAGGAACAGCTGTGTAAACACATTTACAGTTGTATTGTCAAGTGGTAAGAGGAGGGTAAAAGCTTGTATATATCTCTGCAGGAATATATATATATATATATTCCGTATAAATCCCTGAGGAAAACTAATATAAATATTTACATATGAAACTAAATCAACATACAAGATATCGAAGAGATGAAGATTAGTCTATGGTTAAGACTTGGCTTAATGAACCTCAACACTTGGAAAAAGGGAAATGAAGACTTTTCACATCATTACAGAAAAAACATAATAAATTTGGAGGAAAATAAATGCTTGTAAGAGCAAAACCTTGCACTTTGAAGTCATTCCCCAAGTATAATAAGCATGTTCATTTTTGTTATGGATGTGAATTTTGTGCTTCCTAGGAATTTTAGTTCATAGCTTATCAGTTCATCCCACTGTGCTTAGACTAATATGCCCCATATAAGGGTTCAGTTGTGTCTTGCCTCATGTCTTTCCAAACCTCAAAGCAAAATATAACATCCTTTAAGGCAAATGATTAACAGAACTGTAGTTTATTTGTGAAAATCAGAGCTCTAGAGAATTTATCCTTAAACTATAATTCAGGATCTTCAAAATTTAAAGATATATTGCTTTCCAGCTTGTTCTATGGTTATGGAAATCAGTAAATGGAACAGGGGTTGGAGCAAAAACAAAGAAACATTCTCTTTGTATGGGCTGCATTGAGGATGGCAGTGGTCATAGACTCCAGTAGATAATGTGTCATACCTGCTTATGCCCAAAGAGCCCAGGGAAAGAAAGCACTATAATCTTAGCTACATTCCCTTTCAAAGACTTTGAATCCAGGGTCTGTGCATGCCAGGCAAGTGCTTAACCACTGAGTTATACCCAAGCTCTAAAACCTTTCCTGTAGTCTGGACTGAAGCTGCCCCAAGCACCAGTTGTTCAATGGCCACATTTACCCAGTGGTCACTACAAACCAGGATGAAAACTTAGGGGTGTATTATTCTACTGTCTTAGGGAGTTACAAAGAATAGAAAGTTCGTAACCCTAGTAGAGAATTCACTCCTGCAATAAGCCCTGCCTGTGCCTGGTTCTGGAGTAATAAAGTGTGTTCTCCCCACCTGGACATGTCCCAGATGGCCAGAATATCCTTTTCCTTGACAGGCTCCAAACATCAGATTTGGAACAGAAAGAAACAAAAGAGGTTTAAACTGACTCCACTGTTAGGCAGTTGCCTAAACAGTATTGGTATTTACAGTGACTTCTGTAGACAGTGCAGCTATAGATATGCACTGTAGATAGATGACTCATTTTAAGTATTACAGTCTTTCTCCTTGTCTAATGATTAAGTAGGAACACACCCATTATCATGCAATTGAGTTTATGAGACATGTAAAAGATTACTACTAAGTTTCTAAAGTTTCAGTTTTTAAATGTAATGAACAAATGAACAAAAAATAAGAGTTCTTTTTCCTTTCATAACCTGTTTGTCATTAAAATAGTAGGTTATTAGAAAGTTTAAAAGTATTACACACCTCTCAGATTTTATTTTGATAGCACACTTCATCTAAATCTGCAAACCACCATTGTGTATTATTAAACTAATAATAATGTTGCCACTCTGGATTCCTGTTTCTTGTTAACTGGACCTTAGGCAGGTACCTTTATAACCACCTCTAAGTACTCTTTCCTCCCATATCCCTAGTGCATTCATATCCCCAAACACAGCTTAGTGAAACATAACTCTTGTCTACTATGAGATGCCCAAATCCTCAACATCACAGTTTAGGTTCACTTTGCAGCAGAGTTTTCTGACTGTCTCTCATACTTCACAGTTCTGCATGAACTAACACCACCCAAAATGGGCATTTGCTTTTGCCAGTAAGCCATCACTTTTCTAGCTCACTCTGGCTTCACACCTTGCTCTAGCTCTTTCAACTGAGCCTTGATCGTTAAGATCCAGGTTGAGCCCTCAGTTTTCTGAGATTCCCCAATGGTGTGATCTTTTGATATATTTTATCTTTCCATTGAGGAAAGCAAGCCCTCTCAAAGGACTATGTGTTTCTTTAAGTGGTCCATAAATAATTTCCACTTTTCATTTGATAGACCTTTAGCATTGTACTTTATTCTCTCATCTTTTCTCTTTTTTTTTTTTTGGTTTTTCGACACAGGGTTTCTCTGTGTAGCTTTGGAGCCTGTCCTAGAACTTCCTCTGTAGACCAGGCTGGCCTCAGACTCACAGAGATCCTCCTGCCTCTGCCTCCCAAGTGCTGGGATTAAAGGCGTGCACTACCAACACCTGGCCAGTCTCTCACCTTTTTAGAGGAAGAAATGCCAATCAAAAAGGAAGATACAGTTGTCTTCAGAATCAGTTAAAGGCAACCACTTTCACCTAATACTAAAAAACTTCAATAAAAAGAGAAGTAGGTTACTCTCTTTTCTTTCTTCTGGCTCATTTTTCATAGTATTTTTAGATAGCACAATAAATTGATAGGAGACCTAGGGTCTTTAGTGACTCATGATATTTGCTATAATGATGAACTGGAGATAAAATCAAGGGGGTACAGAATTTGGCTGATCTCCAGCCTCCAAAGTAGACTGCATACACAGATGTGTATGTAGGAAGAAGCACTTTACCAGAAGACACAGCTTTTTGCACAGGCTAGGATGTCCCAGTGGTATCTTTTGCAGCCCTGAAGGTCTACATACAAGCCCAATCAAGGAGTGTCTTATTTCTCTGACTTCAGAATCACACAAGAACCAGGGATTTGTGGATCACAAATTGGTGGGCTATTTCTTCATGTAACAGTTTAAGCTAATCTGAGCTTTGAAACTAGATTGTTAGGAAAACTCCTGGAATGGTGTTTTTGGTACTTTATGATTTATTGCTGACCTCCATCAAGTCTCATGTCATCTCAGTGATGACATGTAGAAATACAGATTTCCAGGCACTGTTTTAGTCCCATTATAATGGAATATTTAGGGATCAAGTCCACAAATCTGTATTTTAAGTGTACCTAGGCTGTAATTTTCTTTGGTTTACTGAGACTTTGTATTCTTAAATTTATCACCTACGATTTCACAGTAAAAAGCAATATAGATAGTAATACTATTAAAAAATATATACATACATACATATATATATGTATACACATGATAAGTACTCTTTATAAACTGGCAAATTGATTGCATATTCAAGAAAACCGATTGCAAATCTGTAAGAATGACTGTCTTAGATAACACTGAACAATAAAACTATCAAGTGTTTAGGCTACAAAACATTGCCATTAATTTCCTCAAGAGCCCATAACAGCAGTGCTTCCAGTAAAGTTAGGATTCTCTGCCCTAAACGATGATTTAAAGACATAAGTGTAGGACTCATGGCTGCTAAGAATTCTTGGATTTGTAAGACTCACATGGTAGGAGAGGGACTGGGAAAAAGGGGGAGACAAGGACATGAGTTGAATAAGGATGAAAAAATAGATTGAAATATAGACATTTATATATATGTATATATATGTATATATGTATATATATACACACACATATATATGTGTGTGTGTATACATATATATTATCTAAATATCTCTATACACACACACAGAGTTTCTCATGTATCCCATACCGTATAATTTAGGCTATCCTGTAGCTACCTCCATGAAATTTGACTACAGGCATGCACCATCACACCTGATTGTCAAGTGTGCTAGGTAAACACTCTGCTCACTGAGTTACATCCCAGCCTTTTAAGAGAAAAGGGTAGAAATTGATATTTAACATTTAAGTGTTGATTACATAAGAAAACAAGGATATAAATTTAGGCAATGCTATGCATGCCTTTTTTGAGGAGTTATTATTTTTTCAAAATAGTCAAGATCCTGAACTGAAATATCCAAAATCTGTTATTTTCTGAGAGCTCAGCATAGTCTTTTTTTTTCAGATATTTTTTTATTTATTATTTTACATGTCGATCCCAGTTCCCTCTCCCTCTCTCCTTCCCTCTCGCCATCCTTCCCTCCCTCCCTCCCTTTTACCCTCTCTGCCCTCTCACATGCATCCTAACCACCCTCCCATCCCCCCACCCCAATTCCTTATGTAGGGGAATGCCATCCAGCTGGGGTCATGTAGATCTGACAGGTCATGTGAAGAAGGGACTAGGGCTTCTTTCCTGTCTCTAGGTTAAGGAAGTTATCCCTCCATGGGGGGTGTGTTCACAAGTTCCTTTTGTGCACCAGGGATACATCCTGGCTCCACTGTCTGAGGTCCCTTAGACTGCTCAGTCCTTCTGGCTGAGACCCATATTCAGGGGGGGCCTGAGTCCGTCCCATGCTGGCTTCCCAGCTATCAGTCTGGGGGCCCATTAGCTCCTCCTTGTTCAGGTAAGCTGTCTCTAAGTGTTTCTGCAGCCTGGTCTTGTCCTCTCCATCTGCATCTGGGTTCTAGTTCGACTCAGTGTTTAGGTATGGGTGTTTGCTCCTGTTTCCAACATGTATTAGATGAGGGCTCCATAGATAAGTTAGTTATTGATCTCACTATCCATGAAGGGCATTTATGGTAGCCTTTCCATATTGTTAGTTGGCAGCAGTCTTGTAGTTCTCTAGACCTTTCTTTGTGTTCAATTTTATCTTCAAACCAACATTGGCTCCCTCTTTTATATTCTCTCTCTCTCTCTCTCTCTCTCTCTCTCTCTCTCTCTCTCTCTCTCTCTCTCTCTCTCTCTTCTGTCTTCTATTCCTAACCAGGCTCAATCTTCCTAGTTGCACGTGTTTTCCTTTCCTCCCCGCTTTCTCCTACTTCTCTTTGCATTCGCTGCCCCCCGAACTTCCCCTGAGCTCTGGGGGACTTGTCCCTTCCCAGTTCTGTGAGGGACTTTATATGAATCTTTTAGAATACACCTTGTATCCTAATTCCTCTGGTGGTGTGAATTATAGGCTGGTGATCCTTTGCTCTAGGTCTAAAATCCATATCTGAGTGAGTACATAACTATGTTCCTCTTTTTGTGACTGAGTTACCTCATTCAGGACAGTTTCTTCAAGTGCCATCCACTTGCCTGCGAATTTCAAGATACCATTACTTTTTTCTGCAGAGTAATATTCCATTGTGTAAATGTGCCACATCTTCATTATCCATTGTTCAGTTGAGGGGCATCTAGGTTGTTTCCAGGTTCTTGATATTACAAATAGTGCTGCTATGAACATAGTTGAACAGATGTCTTTGTTGCATGGATGTGGATCATTTGGGTATATGCCTAAGAGGGGGATTGCCAGGTCCTGTGGTAAACTAATTCCCATTTTCCTAAATGGCTATTTGCACTCCCACCAGC